GAATCTTACCTTCTCTCACAGCCCCAAAATATAACACCTCCTAGCTTATCTCCATCAAGAGAGATCCCTGGAGAGAGTCCCAGGCACCTGCTGAGAGGAGGAAAGTCTTACCCCGCTGCGCTGTGGACACCGACACCTTGGGACATATGCAAACTCATTGTGCTGTAGGTGATGGTGAAAAGGGCCAGAGCCGTTAAGTGCCTGTGCTCAGCTGGAGGAGTGAAGGGGAGAGGAGGGGGAGGAGATCCTGTTTTTTTGTCACTCTCAGTAAGCCAGTAACTGTCCTGGGAGAGGGGAAGAGCACCCACAAACTTTATTTCTAAGAGCTGGATCAGAATCAGGGGAAAAAGTAAATTTAAAGCTAAAAAAAAAGTACCTGGAGTGATTTGCTGGCCGTCACTGACTTGGCTGCTGTTGGCATCAGGCTGGTGCTCTAGGAGTGCTTTCACTCCTTGGGTGCAACACATTACCCAGGGATTCGGGTTCACAGGGATGGGTGGGGGGAGCCTTGCTTTTTCCTTTGCCTGACACCCACCTCTCGGAGCAGCTTTGATTTCTGTGTCTAAGAGGAACAGGAAGAAGCTTGGCAGCAGAGATCAGACCTCTGGACACTGCGAAACACCTCCTTCTTAGCAGGCTCTGAGTCTCCGCAACAACGCTAAGTGCAAGAGTGCTGGTAAATTATTAAAACAACCTTGCAACAGCTCCGGAGAAACCACCAGCGCCTCAGATTCAAAGGGAAGGCTGCGGTGTGAGAATCCCCATTAGTAACAATACGCACAGTTTGCAAGAACATATGTCCCTGCATGGAGCAATCAACCAATCTGGGCTGTTTAACCACAATATTTCAAAGAAGTGCTTTTAATGCAGCTGATCCGTATGTTTATTTTTGAGCTGTAAAACGGGATTCTGCACCAGCCTTTCAGAACATTTCTGTCATGGACTCTATCCAAACTATCGGGGAGAAGGTTTTGCGCCAGCGGAGCGACTGATACGTATTTTTTTTTAAATCAAAGTCACGACTGTGGAAAAAGAATAATCCAGGCAGACAGAAAGTGCATTTGCCCTCTGAAAAAAAAGCAAGAGGAGCGAGACCCTACCGGGACCCTCTTAAGAATGGGTTCGGATCAAAAGTGCATGAGATGGGGACCGGGTGGATGGGAAAGGGGATGATGCAGATACTTGAGCACACATCGAAAATACAGCCCTTCGCACCCTTGTCTCCTGCAAAGTGCGTGGGAGATGAACGCAGGTCCTGGTTTATCGATTGATTGATTTTTTTATAAAAAATAAGAGCTCCCCGTGGAATAGCCATGCCTTTGCGGGGAGGGGGAGGTGGGGGAGGGAAAGGTCTGGTCTCCTTCCCTGCTCGATCTAATCCTAATTAAAAATAAATTACATGCTGTACGGAACTTGAAATGGCAAAGATAATCCTGTTACACACGAGGGGCCGCTCCGCTGCCCGCTGCCCGCTCCCGGCCGGCGG